GTGGGTTCCTGCAGCAGTCAAAGATCTGGAGTGACGTTGATTCTCCCGTTCAAGCTCGTCGGAAATGTGCGGCTGCGTTAAACACGGTACGGCTGCTCACACTGCATGTGTTCGCTGTGCTTTAGCCATCAATTAATTTACTCTCTTTCTATTCTTCAGTCTGAGGACAGTGATGGAGATCTGCTGTCAGATATTGATTTTCAGGACGTCTCCCTTCATCAGCCCAGAGCTGTGGAGCCGCGTCACGTCAGGAAGCCTCATGTATGTCAAGTTAAGTCAAGTCACCGTTATTTATAGAGAGCTTTTTACTTGACATTGAGAGCATAGGTCGTAATTTAGATATATTTTTGAGATGGAAAAATGCGGTTTTACAAATGCAAATACGTCACATGATCAAATCATACGGACAGAGCGTCAGGTGTTAGATTATCGTCTTGTGTCTTCTAGAAGGTCCGTCGCGAGGGCCGGCAGTTTCTGGATGAGGAGGCTGAGCTCTCTGAAGATGAAGATGTTTCCTCCGATGAAGATGAAGGAGATGAACAGAACCACTCGCTGCAGGGGTTTGTGGTGAACACGACTCAATGCTCTCAGGGTCTGAACGGTGAGATTCACTGCTTCTCCATCTGAACCTCCACTGCCACAAACACCGCCGCTCAGACGATATTCAGCAAGGACGCATTAAACTGATCAAAAGTGCAATAAAAACATTTATAATGTTACAAAAGATTTCTATTTCAAATAAATGCTGGCGCATCACAGAAATACATTACAGTTTAACAGATATTCACATAGATCAAATTTTGATCAAATAAATGCAGCTTTGGTGAACATAAAAAGAAAAAAACATTTAAAAATCTGACCGACCCCAAACATTTAATTGTATTTAATCTCTCCCTGTAATAAATGTGCTTCTCAGATGAAATATTAAATGCGATTTATTTTAATTTCTATATGTTGTCTTCTCATGGTCAGACTCTGAGATGCAGGCGTTCTATCTGAAGTCTGTGAGGAGTCCAGCGGTGCAGAACCAGGTCCGAATGACGTATAAACCCAAACATAGCGTGGATATCTTCTCACAGGTGAGCTGCTGTATTAAAGATATTGAGACTCTCAAACATTGTTGAAAACACATCATGACAATCATCATATCTTGTTTTGGTTTGTCATTAGCTATGTTTCCATCCAAAGATTCAAATTAAACTTATGCGCAAAACTGGAATATCGCATAAAACATATGCGAATAAAGCACCGTTTCCATCCGAGTCAAAGAGAACAAAATCGTCACTTCCTGATAAACTGCACTAAATATCACTAAGAAAAGTAGGAGAAGCCACTGAATATAATAATTTTCATATATGATGAATGACTTGCGCCTCAGAGCGAGCAGACGAAACACAATAAATGCTGTCACTGCTTTCAGAGGCGGATGCTGCTGTTTGGGAACGCAGTCGTTTAAGACAATTATACAGAAATACTTTGACGACAGTCTTTACTCGGGCTTTTCAGAACTATGTTTCAGATGCTGTGAACGAGATCGGTCCGCTGCTAGTCAAGTTATCCCGTCACATGACTTTATAGATGCGCATAGTGGAAATTATTCAGTGTTTTCATCATAGTTTATACGCATTTTTTCTTATCAGATAACAAGTTGATCCTACTCAAATGTGTGCATAAGTTTTTTTATGTGCATTTTTAGAATTGATGCACATCTTGGCGTTTACATCCAACATTTTTATATGCGCATAACAATAGATGGATGGAAGCATAGCTATTGAGTCAGTTTTAATGGAGACTCAGTGCTTGTGCTGCCGGTGCTTCAGATCCCAGAGCAGGACGAGACATACGGCGAGGACAGCTTTGTGGTTCATGGGAGTGAGGATGAGGAGGGTGAGAGTGGCGGTGATGAAGAGCCTGTGGAGGTGATCCATGAAGACTCGTACGTCGACGGGAGGAAACAGTACGCCACGCGCCGCAGAGTCCAGATCCGAGGAGTCCAGTCAGAGAGGAACGGCAAGAGCAAACGCTCGCGGATCATCCGGGTCCAGGACTCCAGTGAGGAGGAGGAGGAAGAGCAGACAGGCTCTGTGTTTACAGACCTGCAGCGTCTCCAGAGCGCCTCCAGACCGACGGATCGAGACGACAGGAAGCGGCAGAGACTCAGCGATCAGGCGGCGCTGTCAGAGGAGCTCGACTTCCTCCCGGAGAAACAGGTGAGAATCAAATGAGCTCACAGCAGCTCTGTTCCCAGATCAGTGTGTTTCAATTAGAGCTGTAACCTAACTAGGGCTGGGCAATACGGACAAATAAAATCTTTTTTCTTCTTCTCAGAACGTGTGCCCAATTCAAGATAACAATTTTGATATTTTAACATTTTACTAGTCCAAAAAAAAAAACATAATTACAACATGATTCAAGTAACTTCCTATTTCATATATTTATATAAAAAAAGGAAGTTCTATTCCAAGTGCAGCACATATGAAGTTCAACATAAAACAACTTAAATATCTTTGCAGAAAACATGAAGGCAACATATCATATCCACATACATATGATGTATTGATGCAATACGTAAAAAATATTAATATATATTTTTGAGATGCCGTTTTGACACTCTATTAGCCACATCTGCATCATCAAGCTGCCATCAAATATTTCATATCTTTATATATACCTTTATATATTTATGTATAGATTTTTTTTATGTATTTTTTCCACAACTGGAGAACCTCATTTTGTTGTGTTTACATTTTAGAGGAGACTGAAAGACCTTGACATTTGTATGTTTCACAAACCAATGATGAGCTTCATCAGATGCTTGATGATGATATTATTTAAGAAAACTAAAGTGCTTTTTTGTTCCGTTAATGTCACAACTGGGACACAGGATTTGCCGTTTTCAGACAGTTCCATTTAAATGATAAAGTGATCGTTCACCCAAAAATGAAACCAAACATTTGACGGTAGCCATTGACTTCCATGGTATTTTTTTTCCTTATTGTGAAAGTCAATGGCTACCGTCAACTGTTTGGTTCCCAACATTTTTCAAAATATCTTCTTCTATGTTCAACAGAAGAAACTCCAAATACAGGTTTGGAACAACTTGAGGGAGAGTAAATGATGACAGAATGTGAACAATTCCTTTGTTTTATTTTGGTTGCATTTGTGATCTAATAAAAATTTTAATTTTGTAATATTAATATATCCATCACAGCTATATATCCATATCGGTATATTCTTTATAAGCGACATAAAGAATATGAGGCAATACTGTTTATACTGAAAAATATAGCGGAGGACACAGACTGAGCTGCTGTGGAGAAAGTGCATAATCCAGTTTGTTCTAAACATGTGACAAGCTTTAAGGGCTTTAAAAAAAAAACTGGTCAGATATATAGTATAGTTTATAGTTTGGTATCGTTTAAAGCGGCTCGTGTGCCGCTGACAGAGACGTTACTCGGGCTGTTTAATGTGTTTGAGATGTGCTGTCTTCCTGAATGCAGAAATTACATTTCTCAGGTATATTCTCTGTCTGTAAATGTTAGAAAGTCATGGAAATATTTCCATTTTTCTGTCAGGAGTGCATGAGCCTTCTGCTTTGGTATTCTCCGCTAAACTTCACAGACTTCAGTAAACGAAGCACAATAATTCTGATTAAAATATATATATGTGTAGTTGGACAATAATGTGACATTTGTAGAATTTTAAACCAACTAATAAGTATTTTTATGATAGCACTGACTGTAAAGTGAATGTAATTGGGGTAATTGAGTCTGTGCTTTTGTTCTCATTTATTTTCATTTTTAGTTTAGTGAATTTAACTTCTGCTTTAAAAGCCTTATTTTTGTTTTTAGATTGCAATGTTACAATGTTAGAATGAAATGTGATTTTGACCCTTTTTTGCACATAATATATGCCTACATGGTTACATTCACTTTGTTTTCATAGCCTTTAATATGTATTGTTTTGTTGGACATATATATATATTTTTTTTTTTATTATTTTTTTTTTTTATTGTAATCGGAATACAAAAATACCGAGATATATACCGTAAATCGCAAATCAGCCGAAAAAATACAGAGATATTAATTTTTGGCCATATCGTCCAGCCCTAGCCAGTGCAGTTAAATCAGTAATAAGAGTGAATATTAATTGTCTTTTAAACCCCAGCTTGTATCGTGATGAACCGTCTGATTTGCATGCAGTTGAAACGCTCCTCGTGTCATGAGCTGATCTCAGGTGTCTGATATGTGTTGTGTTCCCGTCTGCAGGGGACTGCAGTGACTGCGCAGACGCAGATCCCGCCGGCCGCAGACACTCCTCTGAGAGTGCTGGTGGACAGCCGCTGCATCAGCGGGGGGTCAGAGGTCGTGTCCCGTCTGCGTCTGCGACACGGCCTGCAGGTTCACGTCTGCTCTCTGATCAGCTCAGACTTTATCGTGAGCAACCGCATGGCAGTGGAGCGGCAGAGCGAGTCCGAGCTCACCAGCGTCCAGAACCGCAGACGGCTGCAGGACAGAATGCAGCGGCTGCAGGCGGCGTTCGAGCGCGTGTGTCTGATCATCGAGAGGGACCGCAGCAAACCTGGTGAGAACATGTTTACACCATCAGAAGCACTTAAAGGATAAGTCCACTTCCAGAATAAAAAGTTCCTGATAATTTACTCACCCCATATCAACCAAGATGTTCATGTCTTTCTTTCTTCAGTCGCAAATAAATAGTTTTTTGAGGAAAACATTACAGGATTTTTCTCCATATAGTGGACTTCAATTGAAGGTTAAAAATGCGGTTTCAGTGCAGCTTCAAAGAGCTCTATACAATACCAGCCGAGGAATAAGGGTCTTATCTAGCTAAACGATCGCTCATTTTCTGAAAAGAATTTATATTTATACACTTTTTAACCACAAATGCTGGGCTAGCGTTAGCTCTGCGATGCGTGTCTTTATTAGCTGATGTTGGAAGTACAAAGACGAAGAACTAATCACGCGTGACTTTTCTGCTTTTGCTCTTTTCTGCGTGTGAAGACGTGCATCGCAGAGCTAGAGCAAGCCCAGCATTTGAGGTTAAAATGTGGATACATTTTTTTTTTTTCAGAAAATGACCGATCGTTTTGAAAGATAAGGCCCTTATTCCTCGGCTGGGATCGTGTAGAGCTCTTTGATGCTGCATTGAAACTGCATTTTAGACTTTAAATGATTGGCCACCATTGAAGTCCACTATATGGAGAAAAATCCAGGAAATATTTATTCTGGAAGTGGGCTTATCCTTTAAAGCATGAAATAAATTCAATATCTATTTTCTAAATGCATGTTTTTGATCTTATTGTGAAAGTTTCATCCATGCATGTTTCTTTTTTAAACCTTGTTTTAATCAAAATGTCATAACAGTGAAATGTCAGGTTTCTCTCGGGCGACGTGTGCCTTTTTTCTGGAGAAGACAAAAGCTGAAACAAATACATTAAGACGTTTTTAACTAAAATACGAGTCCATAATAACGCTTCCTCCAGTGAAAAAGTGTTCTGGTCTGAATCAGGAGAGAAATCTGCACACATCAAGCAGCGTTTACAAGCCAAAACTACGGTGGCCGAGAGAGCTCAACGCACTGCACAGTACGCCACGCGCCGCAGAGTCCAGATCCGAGGAGTCCAGTCAGAGAGGAACGGCAAGAGCAAACGCTCGCGGATCATCCGGGTCCAGGACTCCAGTGAGGAGGAGGAGGAAGAGCAGACAGGCTCTGTGTTTACAGACCTGCAGCGTCTCCAGAGCGCCTCCAGACCGACGGATCGAGACGACAGGAAGCGGCAGAGACTCAGCGATCAGGCGGCGCTGTCAGAGGAGCTCGACTTCCTCCCGGAGAAACAGGTGAGAATCAAATGAGCTCACAGCAGCTCTGTTCCCAGATCAGTGTGTTTCAATTAGAGCTGTAACCTAACTAGGGCTGGGCAATACGGACAAATAAAATCTTTTTTCTTCTTCTCAGAACGTGTGCCCAATTCAAGATAACAATTTTGATATTTTAACATTTTACTAGTCCAAAAAAAAAAAACATAATTACAACATGATTCAAGTAACTTCCTATTTCATATATTTATATAAAAAAAGGAAGTTCTATTCCAAGTGCAGCACATATGAAGTTCAACATAAAACAACTTAAATATCTTTGCAGAAAACATGAAGGCAACATATCATATCCACATACATATGATGTATTGATGCAATACGTAAAAAATATTAATATATATTTTTGAGATGCCGTTTTGACACTCTATTAGCCACATCTGCATCATCAAGCTGCCATCAAATATTTCATATCTTTATATATACCTTTATATATTTATGTATAGATTTTTTTTATGTATTTTTTCCACAACTGGAGAACCTCATTTTGTTGTGTTTACATTTTAGAGGAGACTGAAAGACCTTGACATTTGTATGTTTCACAAACCAATGATGAGCTTCATCAGATGCTTGATGATGATATTATTTAAGAAAACTAAAGTGCTTTTTTGTTCCGTTAATGTCACAACTGGGACACAGGATTTGCCGTTTTCAGACAGTTCCATTTAAATGATAAAGTGATCGTTCACCCAAAAATGAAACCAAACATTTGACGGTAGCCATTGACTTCCATGGTATTTTTTTTCCTTATTGTGAAAGTCAATGGCTACCGTCAACTGTTTGGTTCCCAACATTTTTCAAAATATCTTCTTCTATGTTCAACAGAAGAAACTCCAAATACAGGTTTGGAACAACTTGAGGGAGAGTAAATGATGACAGAATGTGAACAATTCCTTTGTTTTATTTTGGTTGCATTTGTGATCTAATAAAAATTTTAATTTTGTAATATTAATATATCCATCACAGCTATATATCCATATCGGTATATTCTTTATAAGCGACATAAAGAATATGAGGCAATACTGTTTATACTGAAAAATATAGCGGAGGACACAGACTGAGCTGCTGTGGAGAAAGTGCATAATCCAGTTTGTTCTAAACATGTGACAAGCTTTAAGGGCTTTAAAAAAAAAACTGGTCAGATATATAGTATAGTTTATAGTTTGGTATCGTTTAAAGCGGCTCGTGTGCCGCTGACAGAGACGTTACTCGGGCTGTTTAATGTGTTTGAGATGTGCTGTCTTCCTGAATGCAGAACTTACATTTCACAGGTATATTCTCTGTCTGTAAATGTTAGAAAGTCATGGAAATATTTCCATTTTTCTGTCAGGAGTGCATGAGCCTTCTGCTTTGGTATTCTCCGCTAAACTTCACAGACTTCAGTAAACGAAGCACAATAATTCTGATTAAAATATATATATGTGTAGTTGGACAATAATGTGACATTTGTAGAATTTTAAACCAACTAATAAGTATTTTTATGATAGCACTGACTGTAAAGTGAATGTAATTGGGGTAATTGAGTCTGTGCTTTTGTTCTCATTTATTTTCATTTTTAGTTTAGTGAATTTAACTTCTGCTTTAAAAGCCTTATTTTTGTTTTTAGATTGCAATGTTACAATGTTAGAATGAAATGTGATTTTGACCCTTTTTTGCACATAATATATGCCTACATGGTTACATTCACTTTGTTTTCATAGCCTTTAATATGTATTGTTTTGTTGGACATATATATATATTTTTTTTTTTATTATTTTTTTTTTTTATTGTAATCGGAATACAAAAATACCGAGATATATACCGTAAATCGCAAATCAGCCGAAAAAATACAGAGATATTAATTTTTGGCCATATCGTCCAGCCCTAGCCAGTGCAGTTAAATCAGTAATAAGAGTGAATATTAATTGTCTTTTAAACCCCAGCTTGTATCGTGATGAACCGTCTGATTTGCATGCAGTTGAAACGCTCCTCGTGTCATGAGCTGATCTCAGGTGTCTGATATGTGTTGTGTTCCCGTCTGCAGGGGACTGCAGTGACTGCGCAGACGCAGATCCCGCCGGCCGCAGACACTCCTCTGAGAGTGCTGGTGGACAGCCGCTGCATCAGCGGGGGGTCAGAGGTCGTGTCCCGTCTGCGTCTGCGACACGGCCTGCAGGTTCACGTCTGCTCTCTGATCAGCTCAGACTTTATCGTGAGCAACCGCATGGCAGTGGAGCGGCAGAGCGAGTCCGAGCTCACCAGCGTCCAGAACCGCAGACGGCTGCAGGACAGAATGCAGCGGCTGCAGGCGGCGTTCGAGCGCGTGTGTCTGATCATCGAGAGGGACCGCAGCAAACCTGGTGAGAACATGTTTACACCATCAGAAGCACTTAAAGGATAAGTCCACTTCCAGAATAAAAAGTTCCTGATAATTTACTCACCCCATATCAACCAAGATGTTCATGTCTTTCTTTCTTCAGTCGCAAATAAATAGTTTTTTGAGGAAAACATTACAGGATTTTTCTCCATATAGTGGACTTCAATTGAAGGTTAAAAATGCGGTTTCAGTGCAGCTTCAAAGAGCTCTATACAATACCAGCCGAGGAATAAGGGTCTTATCTAGCTAAACGATCGCTCATTTTCTGAAAAGAATTTATATTTATACACTTTTTAACCACAAATGCTGGGCTAGCGTTAGCTCTGCGATGCGTGTCTTTATTAGCTGATGTTGGAAGTACAAAGACGAAGAACTAATCACGCGTGACTTTTCTGCTTTTGCTCTTTTCTGCGTGTGAAGACGTGCATCGCAGAGCTAGAGCAAGCCCAGCATTTGAGGTTAAAATGTGGATACATTTTTTTTTTTTCAGAAAATGACCGATCGTTTTGAAAGATAAGGCCCTTATTCCTCGGCTGGGATCGTGTAGAGCTCTTTGATGCTGCATTGAAACTGCATTTTAGACTTTAAATGATTGGCCACCATTGAAGTCCACTATATGGAGAAAAATCCAGGAAATATTTATTCTGGAAGTGGGCTTATCCTTTAAAGCATGAAATAAATTCAATATCTATTTTCTAAATGCATGTTTTTGATCTTATTGTGAAAGTTTCATCCATGCATGTTTCTTTTTTAAACCTTGTTTTAATCAAAATGTCATAACAGTGAAATGTCAGGTTTCTCTCGGGCGACGTGTGCCTTTTTTCTGGAGAAGACAAAAGCTGAAACAAATACATTAAGACGTTTTTAACTAAAATACGAGTCCATAATAACGCTTCCTCCAGTGAAAAAGTGTTCTGGTCTGAATCAGGAGAGAAATCTGCACACATCAAGCAGCGTTTACAAGCCAAAACTACGGTGGCCGAGAGAGCTCAACGCACTGCAACTTCAGAAAACACATGCAAATAGAAAAAGCACCAGCAAATTAAGAAAACATCTTCATCAGTTTGACAACACGTGCTGCAAATCCCCACAACAGAAAAAAAGAAACGCGCAAGTACATACCACAACGAAATTAAAATTAACCATGTTTTTTTTTGCTGTATTGATTACCATTTGTATATCCACAGTTGTACAAATACCATGGTTAAACTACGGTTAATGTAGTAAATCCATGTTTAATTTGTGCATGGTTCAACTATAGTAACCATTTTTTTGTTTTTATTTTTTTATACAGTATAATAAATGTATTTATTAATTAATTAATTTTAATACCATAGGCTATGGTTGATATTTGTAAGGGAAGTTGTAAAAGTAAGTTAGCCAGCTTACATAACCTTTCACAGTTACAGTAATTGTATATTTCGTCAGCTTATTTAGGCTAATAATATCCAC